TTAAAGGCGCTCTTTCCAGCGGAGTTGACAGATTGTCCCTAACTTCTTTTCCATGTCAAAAGTGAAAAAAAAACCGATGGAGGGTCTGTTTCACATCTATATTGTTCGATCAGCCTTTCATCGTTGCCTTTAATTTAAAGTTTTATTTTATATTGCTTATCCTGATCTAGAACACGAGCCGGTTTTTTTCTTCGCTGCTGTTTATCCAAGTTGTCCTTGCAAACGTTGTTCGCTGAACATGCGATTTGTTGTTCTAAGTCTCGCTCTTCTATGCACGCGCACATTTCCGCAATTGTGACGCGACTCGATTACTCCTGAAAGCAACAGTTTGAATCTCAACCCAAGAAGGATTCTAGAAACAGCTTAGTTTACGGACTTCTTAAAATAATAGTTAAAGCAAAGTAAGGTAAAGAAAATGAACAGGATGAATTATATTCGCAGCTGATCCTAGGTCAGTAACTCCCCTGCTCGAAGTCAATGAAAATTCGTGAATATAACTGAGCGTTGACTCCCATACACACTGTACCGCGAAAGGAAAGTTGTTTAAGCAGCTTCAGAAAACGTTTCTCAAGCACCATTTTATATTTTTCGCAAGTCGTATTAACTTGCTTAAACCAGTCGGAGTTTATTGAATGTTTTAATAGGAGTTTTGTGATGCGGCGTTTATTCGAAAGAGGCGTTCATTTCAAAACGGTATTCACAAATCACTGACAACAGTTACGATAAATCAATTTGTAGATATTATATAAAAAGGAGACACGTGTTGTTTTTTGTTGAGGTGGGATGCTAGTTTTTGGAACGTGTCATACCTAGTTGTATCTTGGTTTTTTCCACATAAATTAAAACTGCATTGTTCTTAGCCTTAGATTTTTTTCAATTTTTTTTTTCTCGAAAACTAAACTTTGGATCATGGCCATTTTATTAGTATTAGAAAAGCACCTCGAATAACCCATTGGTAGAAAGAAGAATGCGAAAAAAAGCGTGGATAAAATTGACTCTGTCTTGTAACAAACGCAATCATTCTTATGCTAACAAACCTGCGAAGATGACCACTTACATGTTAAAAACAAGGTTTGCAAGGTCACCTTTAGCGTCGCTTCTATTCAAAGGCCAGGACACTGAGCACACAATAGTAAAATGGCGCCTTGGGGACTATTATCGCTCCCTGCCACCACGGGGATGGGCCAGGTAAAGGATTGACGAATGGTCCTCCACTCAGTTGGTCTTAGTTGCTCTACTTTTACCTTTCGCGTTTGAATACCCTGCTTGCAGATTCTTTCCGGCATGGCTTTCTTAGCTTGAATGTGTCACCTTGTCGAAGAAGACTTGAAGGACAGTTTACCATCAGACATTTGTTCGGGGTATCATCCGTAGTACAAATGTCTTGAAACTGAACTCAAGAAGAAACTTCAGATAAAGGAAGAACATTTCCTCGATTTTCTCTCTGCCATTACTGCATCGAGGGAGCCCCTACCCGTTTGAATTGGATATATGTTGTATCCACTTGGAAGAGTATCACGAACCAGTTTTTTGCACTTTCAACAGGTTTATTCGGTATACTGTAATTTTCTCTGTACCCACTTGAAACACTGAAGACTCCGAGGGAGAAAGTCAAAAAAACCTGGTTACATTTTCTGCTCTATCTTGATAGTGTCCTCGTCTAATACCGCGTGACATGGCCGCTTATATACCTAAATTTGACCTCGTGGGAGTTAATTAACACCATGTAATAACCGCTATTTTAACATGTCCACGCAGTAAGGCTCTAGCTTTGGGCGGAAGGCAAAACACCGTTGGTTTTGTTTGTAAAGTATTAGTACCAGGTACTAACTCGTCAACTGCAAAGTGTAAAGTACGAAGAGCCCTAGGCAGTGTGTCCACACTTCTTCCCATCCACGATGATTGTCTTCATTCCATTCACAAGTCAGTGAAACACTGGTTGACTGACACTTCATGTTATGGAGAGCATGAATTCATCATGGATAAATTAGAAAGACAACGTATACTAGCAGACCTCTGTACTGAGGAACTAAATAATCTAAAATGGAAAGGTGTGAACAATGTACAATTAAGCCCTGCTAAGATGTACGCGCTAAATCATGGTGCTTGTCACACATATTTCATGTAGTGTATAGGAGTCAAGATAGAGGCTCTTGAGCTGGAAAGACGGGCGAAGTCGCATAAAGTCCTCAACCATCACAGTGCTATTTATACAGTTCTTAGCATAGACGATTTCCAAATCTACAATATGCGACTTCGCCCGTCTTTCCAGCTCAAGAGCCTCTATCTTGACTCCTATACACTACATGAAATATGTGTGACAAGCACCATGATTTAGCGCGTACATCTTAGCAGGGCTTAATTGTACATTGTTCACACCTTTCCATTTTAGATTATTTAGTTCCTCAGTACAGAGGTCTGCTTTTGCAAACCATGCTAATCGAAAGAGGAAAGGTGTTATCTCCCCAGGCATCGTATCTTTTGCAGCACAAATATCCAGAAATACCATACATGGAAGATGTTCACAAGAGGGCGCAGCTGGAGGTCTTCTAGCCGGATTTAAATGCTCTTTTAATGTGGTCTGTTTGGACGTCTCTCAGCAGTTGGACTATATGGTGTGTGAATGTACAAAAGGTATGCTCCAAATGTGGTCACTTTTTAGTGGTAGGCTGGTGTAGACACGTCCAGTCGTTATAGAGGAGAGTTACAACATGGACAGTTTGTTCCCGTCACGGGGCTAAATTTCATCAGTGACAAGAATGCGTTATTTCTCATTCCGATTCAACTGTTTAACATTAAATCTGGCAAAGTGCAATTAATGTCGAGAGTGAGGTGACCAGTCTGTTTCCTTAACCGTCGTTTGTTCGCCATCGGCCTGAAGATTGCCATGCCCATTTTCAAAACGGTATTCGGGGTGCATTTGCCAAGAGGCGAATACACTTTGAGTATTTTTAAGAGAAAGTGAGATGTTGTTAATGTTTTCAGGAATTTGTTATCGCACACAAGAAAAAGAGATAAAAAGGAAATTGCAGTGCAGTGCAAGGTGCTGACAAATTGGGTTTTACGCTGCAATACACCTGTATTGTTAAAAATGAGGCCGATTCAAAGGTGGCATTTCATATGTGCTCATTTTTACGCTGATGGGGAAACCCTAGTGTTCTCGCTTAAAAAGCCGCCGTGGAAGGTTAAGAATAGGAACCTCTTTTGGTGAAACCGAGTTTGAGTCGTGCCCACAAAATGAAGCTATAATTAAGCGATGAGGAACTCAAACAGTGTAATTTGGTATTTTTTATAAGTACTTTTTCCGAATTTTCGCGATGTTATCTGCTCGCCTAAAAAGAGTTTATTTTTTCGGGAAAGAACTACGTATTTAGTAGCATGCACCATTTGCTAGCGAACTCCAGTAATGAAGTAATAAGCATTGCTGGCGATTGATCTCTTAGTACGACGTTCCAGAAGTATGTCAGGGTTATAGGTTGTGGGTCACAGTTTGACAAATAGATCCCTAATGTGATTCAAGAGCTTTTTGACGTCATTACGTGTCGGATGCTCACGGGATAGGCTTACTTTTAGTGTAAACGATACAATAGTGATAACAGAGGATGTTAGCATCGACAACGAGTACGAGTTCTAGAACGAGATCAGCGATTTTGCGTACTGCGCATCCGTTCTGTGCATCTCTATGTTTTCAAGTCGTCCTGTCAAGTTGCACTACGACGAGTTCTCACCAAAAACTCGAAGTGGGTAGAACGACTGGGAAGAGCTGGTTTTCAAAGGTAAATTCCGATCGTTTAATGCAGTTTCTTTTCGTTTCTAGCCTCTCTTTATCATCTTGAACATTCCTTATATTATGTTTTATGTAAAATACTGCTTTTGAAGTCGGGGAAAAGCAACCGAACGCGATATTTTCTACACAGAGTAAATTTGCATTTACCCGGGAAAGTTTCATGTCTCTCCACAGGCCTCACAGGCTCACGAAATAACCCCGAAAATTGCCATTATTTGGTCGAAAATATCCCAACAGTCGAAGATATCAATAAAGAAAACTTACTTCTTTATCCAGTGTGGTTGTTGTGTTGAATTTGATGGATTTTAGCGTGTTTTAAGACGGCGACTAACACTCCTTCGAGTTACCTCGAAAAATCGATTCTCCTTTGAAAACTGGAGGATGGACCGTCGGGCTATCAAAACACGCTAATACTCATCAAATTCAACACAAGAACCACACTGGATAAGGAGCTAAGTATTCTTCATTCATATCTTCTTCTGTTGGGATATTTTTCGCAACATAATGACAATTTCGGTGTTATTTCGTGAGACCTGTGGTCTCTCTCGATAGCTTTGTAGCACGCCAGATAACTCATTTACTCCTTTTTTCCAGGATTCTCTCAAGATGGCCGCAGCCGAAATGTAAGTGGACCAAAGAGTACTTGTTTTTCTTTATATGAGTATTATTCCGTCAAATTTGGCGCCCAGTCATGCGGAATCCCATAATTTTATTTTCTATAAACTCGAACTCGGTGTCATCGCTAACATAGAAAGCTGAGAAAACGACTTCGAGTACGAGTACGGCTTGAAGTTGTTCTCGTACTCGTACTCGTTGTTGATGCTAACATCCTCTAATAATCCTAGCAGGGCCTTTTTTTGGAAAATACGCAACAAGAGAGAGGTTAAGCCTGCTGGGAGAGGTTGGTGGAATTATTCCCCGATATTTTAAAACAAGATGCTCGAAAATATTTCTTCTGGAAAAAGAACAATATGAAATATAATCAGATAAAGCGATTCAAAGTATCTTGTTTTGGGTATCATTTGTACTCTTCTAAAAGCAGTTGAATATCAAATTTTATGAATCATAATATACAAAATATAGGGTAACAAAACAGTTATAATAAGAAAAATCGTCCCCACTTCTAAAGTACGGTTTTTTTTAGCTAATACTCCAAATTCTCAATTCCATCATAATACGCCACTCCTAATTTCGTTTGCCGAGCATTCTAGGTGAAACCCAGTCCTATGCTCGGTTCAGTCTACCAAGTAGGGAGGTCAGTGGGGGGGAACGTCAGTTGAGCGTGGTTCGTGTCGTTTGTGGATTGTTTGTACATTTCCTTTGCAAGTCAGTTCTTCTGATCAGTGCGAGTGAAACATCGTTAAAAGGTTAGTTTACCGAACATTTAGTTTGATACAGTCCTTAAGTTCATTCCCAGAATCAAGTAGACATGATAGAGATTCAGAAAACGTAGTTGATATATACCTTCCGCTTTCGAATTCGTTATCAGATTATTCACTGGTTTTATTGCAATTCATTTGATTTCAAAAAAAATCATGTCACCTCATACCTGTCATATCTATCTTCAAATTTTTAACTTCCGTGCTGCATAAAGCCGCGTTTTTCAAACGCTGCTCACTCCCTCCTCCCCAACCCGAATTTATTCCTCTGTACTTACACCTAGCTTGTATGCGTAGTGTATCAACCCTTTTCAACATGTTACATTCCAGCCCCGGCGGAATTTTTAGAGTAAACAAATAAGATATTCATTGACCAAGGGATCATAAAAAGTTTCTAAAACATTAGTGCAGAAAAGCTACTCTGGTTCGGATAGACAACAGATGTAGGGATTAAATTTACATGCGGACTTTAGTCTGGCATGGATGGGTGCATGTTAGATGCAGGGTCTAATTTACATGCCGACACTAGCTTCAGTGGCCCTTTTGTTGTACAAGGGAGGATTTTACGGTTCGGCGCATGTGCAAGCCATGACATTAGGTTATATTTTAGAAACAAATTGACAAGTTAAATTGCATTTCTGAGATATATATACATAGTTTGAGGATTATTTTTTCCATAGAGAGTTTTTTGGTTAGGCCAAGCCATGACATTAGGTTATATTAAAAAAAAAAATTGACAAGTTAAATTGCATTCCTGAAATATATTTACACAGTTTGAGGATTTTGGTTTCCCCAGAGAGTTTTTTGTTTAAACCATTCACTATCTTAAATGGTCTATAAACAGAGAGCTTATAACACTTATAACCAGACTAAAAAAGCTTTTCAAAGAAAGCAATATTCCTATTTCGAACATTCTGGGTGAAACCCAGTCCTATGCTCCGTTCAGTCTACCAAGTAGGGAGGTCAGTGGGGTGGAACGTCAGTTGGGCCGTTGTTCGTGTTGTTTGTGGATTGTTTCTACATTTCCTTTGCAAGTCAGTTCTTCTGATCAGTGCGAGTGAAACATCGTTAAAAGGTTAGTTTACCAAACATTTAGTTTGATACAGTCCTTAAGTTCATTCCCAGAAAAAAGTAGACATGATAGAGATACAAAAAACGTGGTTAATACCTTCGGCTTTCGAATTCGTTATCAGATTATTCACTGGTTTTATTGCAATTCATTCGGTTGTAAAAAAAAAACCATGTCACCTCATGGTTTACCTGTCATCTCCATCTTCAAATTTTTAGCCTTTGTGCTGCATAAAGGCGCGTTTTTCAAACAATGGTCACTCCCTCCTCCCCAACTTGAATTTATTCCTCTATAAGTACACCTATATTGTATGCGTAGCTTATCAGCCATTTCCAACATGTTACATTCCTGCCCCGGCGGAATTTTTATGGTGAATAAATAAGTTACTCATTGACTAAGGGATCATAAAGAGCTTTTAAAACATTAGTGAAGAAAAGCTACTCTGGTTTGTGACGATAGGTTTTGCCCTTCCAACTAAAAAGCACAAATCTGGGAAATAAGCGTTAAGAGAATTCGAGCGACTTCGGCGTCTGAACAACAAGGGGGAAAACTAATTCTGCAACTCGCTTGGCTAGCGGAGAAGGAACTCTCACTGTTCCACGGTACTAGGATCTGCTAAAACTGGAAAACAGGACAGCACTCAAACTTAAACTTTAACAGTTTAATCGTCAGCTCGTGGACGTAAATCATACAGACATGTGCATCAAATAATGTAAATCGTACAAGCATGTAAATCCGCAATGTAAATCGAAAAACAGGGATAACAGTGCTCTATTTATACTAACCGATCAACTTATCACAGCATCACAAAACAAATGGAAAGAAGGCTGAATAAAATCAGCTGAACACTGAGAACAAACCTGACTAAATTCAGCTTTAAAATTCATATGTTAAACTAAACGACTCAAAATGAAATGTCAGTCAAGCAAGTGAATTTAGGAAATTTACAAAGAAAGCTGTGTAAACTTGAGAATTCGAGTTTCCTTTGCTCAGGATTCCTTAAAATTGTGTCAAAACTGAAAAATTAAGACGGTTGGTATTTGAACAGGAGAAAGATCCAGTTGTTCAGTGACTAAGCTGTATAATTATCCAGAAACAAATTATCCTTTTAAAAGTAAACAGTGAAATAAAATGTGCATAATTTAAGGGAACTAAAACATCTCATTGCAAATTCAGTATAAATTACGGCGAAAACAACTTTAAATGGAGTCTAAGAGCTAGATTTGAAATTTGAGGCGAACAGAGAATTCATAGGAAATTTCTCCTTACAGTTTGGATAGACAATAGATGGGGGGACTAAATTTACATGTGGACGTTAGTCTGGCATGGATGGGTGCATGTTAGATGAAGAGTCTAATAATTCAGATGCCGACATTAGCTTCAGTGGCCCTTTTGTTTTACAAGGGAGGATTTTACGGTTCGGAGCATGTGCAAGCCACGACATTAGGTTATATTAGTATACTAGTAAGGGAGGTATTGGAGTATAAAGCACATAAAGTGGCAGCCATTCTATGTATTTCCACGAGAACTGTGGAAAGTTAAAAGAGCTAAAATTCTCTTGGTAAAGTGGCCTATAAAGGGGGAGCTTATAACGGTTATAACCAGACTAAAAACTCGTTTTAAAGCAAGCAACATTCCTAATTTCGTTTGCCGAGCATTCTGAGTGAAAGCCAGTCCTATGCTCGGTTCAGTCTACCAATGTACGGAGGTCAGTGGGGTGGAACGTCAGTTGGGTGTTGTTCGTGCTGTTCGTGGTTGGTTTACATTTCCTTTACAAGTCTGTTCTTCTGATCTGTGCGAGTGAAACATCATAAAAAGGTCAATTTATCGAACGCTTAGTTTGATACAGTCCTTAAGTTCATTCCCAGAAGCAAGTAGACATGATAGAGATTCAGAAAACGTAGTTGATATATACCTTCCGCTTTCGAATTCGTTATCAGATTATTCACTGCTTTTTTTTGCAATTCATTCGGTATCAAAAAAATATCATGTCAAATTTTTATCCTTTGTGCTGCATAAAGGTGCGTGTTTCAAAAGATGCTCACTCCACGCTCCCCAACCCGAATTTATTCCTCTATAAGTACACCTAGTTTGAATGCGTCTTTTATCAACCCTTTCCAACATGTTACATCCCTGCCCCGGCGGAATTTTTGTAGTGAATATATAAGCTACTAATTGACCAAGGAATCATAAACAGTTTCTAAAACAGAAAAGCTACTCTGGTTGGGATAGACAACAGATGTAGGGATTAAATTTACATGCTTACGTTAGTCTGGCATGGATGGGTGCAATTTACATGCCGACGCTAACTTCAGTCGCCCTTTTGTTTTACAAGGGAGGATTTTACGGTTCGGCGCATGTGCAAGCCATGACATTAGGTTATATTTTAGAAACAAATTTACAAGTTAAATTGCATTTCTGAGATATATATATATACATAGTTTGAGGATTATTTTTTCCATAGAGAGTTTTTTGGTTAGGCCATTCACTATCTTATGTTCCATACTTATCTCTGCTATTTCCCCGCTCCTTCAGCATCTGATAATTTAGAAAGCAGACATTTCGTCGCATCATTTTAAGAGCGAGTAACGAATAAACGCCCCGAGCCACAATAAACACAACTGAATAATCGTGATATTTATGCTTGTAGCTGATGACCGAAACACAGACTGAGAATTAAAGAAGACAAAAGACTTGCTACAAGCTAATTCGTAATATCACAAAATAAAACGGACTCCAGCAAGGGAGATGTTGGAGTATAAAGCACATGAAGTGGCGGCCATTCTAGGTATTTCCACGAGAACTGTGGAAAGTTAAAAGAGCTAAAATTCTCTTGGTAAAGTCGCCTATAAACGGGGAGCTTATAACAGTTATAACCAGACTAAAAACTCGTTTTTAAGCAAGCAACATTCTTAATTTCGTTTGCCGAGCATTCTGAGTGAAACTAAGTCCTATGCTCCGTTCAGTCTACCAATTAGGGAGGTCAGTGGGGTGGAACGTCAGTTGGGTGTTGTTCGTGTTGTAAGTGGATTGTTTGTACATTTCCTTTGCAAGTCAGTTCTTCTGATCAGTGCGAGTAAAACATCGTTAAAAGGTTAGTTTACCAAACATTTAGTTTGATACAGTCCTTAAGTTCATTCCCAGATGAAGAAGACATGATAGAGAGAAAAAACGTGGTTTATACCTTCCGCTTTCGAATTCGATATCAGATTATTCACTGGTTTTTTTGCAAGTCATTCGGTTGCAAAAAAAAATCATGTCACCTCATAGTTTACCTGTCATCTCCATCTTCAAATTTTTAGCCTTTGTGCTGCGTAAAGGCGCGTTTTTCAAACAATGCTCACTCCCTCCTCCCCAACCCGAATTTATTCCTCTATAAGTACACCTACATTGTATGCGAAGTTTGTCAGCCACTTCCAACATGTTACATTCCTGCCCCGGCGGAATTTTTATAGTGAATAAATAAGTTACTCATTGACTAAGGGATCATAAAGAGCTTCTAAAACATTAGTACAGAAAAGCTACTCTGGTTTGTGACGATAGGTTTTTCCCTTCCAAGCACAAATCGGGGAAATAAGCTTTAACAGAATTCGAGCGACTTCGGCGTCTGAACAACAAGGGAGAAAACTAATTCTGCAACTCGCTTGGCTAACGGGGAAGGAACTCGTCACTGTTCCACGGTACTAGGATCTGCTAAAACTGGAAAACAGGACAGCACTCAAATTTGGACTTCAACAGTTTAATCGTCAGCTCGTGGACGTAAATCATACAGACATGTGCATCAAATAATGTAAATCGTACAAGCATGTAAATCCGCAATGTAAATCGAAAAACAGGGATAACAGTGCTCTATTTATACTAACCGATCAACTTATTACAGCATCACAAAACAAATGGAAAGAAGGCAGAGTAAAATCAGCTGAACACTGAAAACAAACCTGACTAAATTCAGCTTTAAAATTCATATGTTAAACTAAACGACTCAAAATGAAATGTCAGTCAAGCAAGTGAATTTAGGAAATTTACAAAGAAAGCTGTGTAAACTTGAGAATTCGAGTTTCCTTTGCTCAGGATTCCTTAAAATTGTGTCAAAACTGAAAAATTAAGACGGTTGGTATTTGAACAGGAGAAAGATCCAGTTGTTCAGTGACTAAGCTGTATAATTATCCAGAAACAAATTATCCTTTTAAAAGTAAACAGTGAAATAAAATGTGCATAATTTAAGGGAACTAAAACATCTCATTGCAAATTCAGTATAAATTACGGCGAAAACAACTTCAAATGGAGTTTAAGAGCTAGATTTGAAATTCGAGGCGAATAAAGAATTCATAGGAAATTTCTCCTTACAGTTTGGATAGACAACAGATGGAGGGACTAAATTTACATGTGGACGTTAGTCTGGCATGGATGGGTGCATGTTAGATGAAGAGTCTAATAATTTAGATGCCGACATTAGCTTCAGTGGCCCTTTTGTTTTACAAGGGAGGATTTTACGGTTCGGCGCATGTGCAAGCCACGTAATTAGGTTATATTAGTACACTAGTAAGGGAGGTATTGGAGTATAAAGCACATGAAGTGGCGGCCATTCTATGTATTTCCACGAGAACTGTGGAAAGTTAAAAGAGCTAAAATTCTCTTGGTAAAGTGACCTATAAACGGGGAGCTTATAACAGTTATAACCAGACTAAAAACTCGTTTCAAAGCAAGCAGCATTCCTAATTTCGTTTGCAGAGCATTCTGAGTGAAACCCAGTCCTATGCTCGGTTCAGTCTACCAAGTACGGAGGTCAGTGGGGTGGAACGTCAGTTGGGTGTTGTTCGTGTTGTTCGTGGTTGGTTTACATTTCCTTTACAAGTCTGTTCTTCTGATCTGTGCGAGTGAAACATCATAAAAAGGTTAATTTATCGAACGTTTAGTTTGAAACAGTCCTTAAGTTCATTCCCAGAAGCAAGTAGACATGATAGAGATTCAGAAAACGTAGTTGATATATACCTTCCGCTTTCGAATTCGTTATCAGATTATTCACTGCTTTTTTTTTGCAATTCATTCGGTTTCAAAAATTATCATGTCACCTCATAGTTTACCCGTCATCTCCATCTTCAAATGTTTATCCTTTGTGCTGCATAAAGGTGCGTGTTTCAAAAGATGCTTTCTCCACGCTCCCCAACCCGAATTTATTCCTCTATAAGTACACCTAGTTTGAATGCGTCGTTTATCAACCCTTTCCAACATGTTACATCCCTGCCCCGGCGGAATTTTTATAGTGAATACATAAGCTACTAATTGACCAAGGGATCATAAACAGTTTCTAAAACATTAGTACAGAAAAGCTACTATGGTTCGGATAGACAACTGATGTAGGGATTAAATTTACATGTTTACGTTAGTCTGGCATGGATGGGTGCAATTTACATGCCGACGCTAACTTCAATCGCCCTTTTGTTTTACAAGGGAGGATTTTACGGTTCGGCGCATGTGCAAGCCATGACATTAGGTTATATTTTAAAAACAAATTGACAAGTTAAATTGCATTTCTGAGATATATATACATAGTTTGAGGATTATTTTTTCCATAGAGAGTTTTTTGGTTAGGCCATTCACTATCTTATGGTCCATACTTATCTCTGCTATTTCCCCGCTCCTTCAGCATCTGATAATTTAGAAAGCAGACATTTCGTCGCATCATTTTAAGGTCTCGGTAAAGGAAAACGAGGTGCCCACAGAAAAAAATTCTAGTCGCGCGAGTATTTTCGCTAAAAAGGCAAGTTATAAATCAAATTAAAGCTAAAAGACTAAATTGCCTTATAAAAGATTTTATTTCATCGAATTTCAAAAGGGGCTTAACTTTTTTGCTCTCGAACTCAGAGGTATCGAGGTTACTGCTGAAGCTCCAGCCCTTTCGCGTTGTTAAATATTCACTTTCTTTTTTTAAATGCGTCTGATTGACAGATAAAAGGCCTAAAAATATGTGTGAGGAAATTTGCATATGTCTCGTATTAGCGGAATTATTGCATTTCAAACTAAAAAGTCGAATCTCGAGTGCGATTTACGCAAAGAAACTGACATAAAATCAGTTACAAAGGGAAATCGGAAAATTCCTCACACCTTTTATGAGTCTATATCATTATCCATCATATCTGAAAGTTTCAAACCGATAGCTTAAAACCTGTCCCGACTGGAGGTCGGAGAATTTTGATTTTTGCGTCTAAAATAGAGTGAGAGAAAATCAGCTCTAAAGATTTAGCGCGGGTCCACGCTTGGCTGGTTAGCTCAGAAAAGGCTCATTTTAGAAGGGTTAAAAAGCACTTTCTGGTTTTCTTTTTCTGTCAAAATAAAATTTAGGACCCACTCATGCCAAAAATCCAAAAAAAACAAAATCGAGCAATGTACTAAAATTTTCATTTACCGAGACCTTAAGAGCGAGTAACAAATAAACGCCCCCAGCAACAATAAACACAACTGAATAATCGTGATATTTATGCTTGTAGCTGATGACCGAAACACAGACTGGAATTGCAGAAGACAAAAGACTTGCTACAAGCTAATTCGTAATATCACAAAATAAAACGGACTCTAGCAAGGGAGGTATTGGAGTATAAAGCACATGAAGTGGCGGCCATTCTAGGTATTTCCACGACAACTGTGGAAAGTTAAAAGAACTAAAATTCTCTTGGTAAAGTGGCCTATAAACGGGGAGCTTATAACAGTTATAACCAGACTAAAATCTCGTTTAAAAGCAAGCAACATTCCTAATTTCGTTTGCCGAGCATTCTGAGTGAAACCCAGTCCTATGCTCCGTTCAGTCTACCAATTAGGGAGGTCAGTGGGGTGGAACGTCAGTTGGGTGTTGTTCGTGCTGTTTGTGGATTGTTTCTACATTTCCTTTGCAAGTCAGTTCTTCTGATCAGTGCGAGTAAAACATCATTAAAAGGTTAGTTTACCAAACATTTAGTTTGATACAGTCCTTAAGTTCATTCCCAGATGAAGAAGACATGATAGAGAGACAAAAAACGTGGTTTATACCTTCCGCTATCGAATTCGATATCAGATTATTCACTGGTTTTATTGCAATTCATTCGGTTGCAAAAAAAATCATGTCACCTCATAGTTTACCTGTCATCTCCATCTTCAAATTTTTAGCCTTTGTGCTGCTTAAAGGCGCGTTTTTCAAACAATGCTCACTCCCTCCTCCCCAACTCGAATTTATTCCTCTATAAGTACACCTACATTGTATGCGAAGTTTATCAGCCACTTCCAACATGTTACATTCCTGCCCCGGCGGAATTTTTATAGTGAATAAAGAAGTTACTCATTGAGTAAGGGATCATAAAGAACTTCTAAAACATTAGTGCAGAAAAGCTACTCTGGTTTGTGACGATAGGTTTTGCCCTTCCAAGCACAAATCGGGGAAATAAGCGTTAACAGAATTCGAGCGACTTCGGCGTCTGAACAACAAGGGGGAAAACTAATTCTGCAACTCGCTTGGCTAACGGGGAAGGAACTCGTCACTGTTCCACGGTACTAGGATCTGCTAAAACTGGAAAACAGGACAGCATTCAAACTTGGACTTCAACAGTTTAATCGTCAGCTCGTGGACGTAAATCATACAGACATGTGCATCAAATAATGTAAATCGTACAAGCATGTAAATCCGCAATGTAAATCGAAAAACAGGGATAACAGTGCTCTATTTATACTAACCGATCAACTTATTACAGCATCACAAAACAAATGGAAAGAAGGCTGAATAAAATCAGCTGAGCACTGAAAACAAACCTGACTAAATTCAGCTTTAAAATTCATATGTTAAACTAAACGACTCAAAATTAAATGTCAGTCAAGCAATTGAATTTAGGAAATTTACAAAGAAAGCTGTGTAAACTTGAGAATTCGAGTTTCCTTTGCTCAGGATTCCTTAAAATTGTGTCAAAACTGAAAAATTTAGACGGTTGGTATTTGAATAGGAGAAAGATCCAGTTGTTCAGTGACTAAGCTGTATAATTATCCAGAAACAAATTATCCTTTTAAAAGTAAACAGTGAAATAAAATGTGCATAATTTAAGGGAACTAAAACATCTCATTGCAAATTCAGTATAAATTACGGCGAAAACAACTTCAAATGGAGTTTAAGAGCTAGATTTGAAATTCGAGGCGAATAAAGAATTCATAGGAAATTTCTCCTTACAGTTTGGATAGACAACAGACGGAGGGACTAAATTTACATGTGGACGTTAGTCTGGCATGGATGGGTGCATGTTAGATGAAGAGTCTAATAATTTAGATGCCGACATTAGCTTCAGTGGCCCTTTTGTTTTACAAGGGAGGATTTTACGGTTCGGCGCACGTGTAAGCCACGACATTACGTTATATTAGCATACTAGTAAGGGAAGTATTGGAGTATAAAGCACATGAAGTGGCAGCCATTCTATGTATTTCCACGAGAACTGTGGAAAGTTAAAAGAGCTAAAATTCTCTTGGTAAAGTGGCCTATAAACGGGGAGCTTATAACAGTTATAACCAGACTAAAAACTCGTTTTAAGCAAGCAACATTCCTAATTTCGTTTGCCGAGCATTCTGAGTGAAAGCCAGTCCTATGCTCGGTTCAGTCTACCAAGTACGGAGGTCAGTGGGGTGGAACGTCAGTTGGGTGTTGTTCGTGTTGTTCGCGGTTGGTTTACATTTCCTTTACAAGTCTGTTCTTCTGATCTGTGCTAGTGAAACATCATAAAAATGTTAATTTATCGAACGTTTAGTTTGATACAGTCCTTAAGTTCATTCCCAGAAGCAAGTAGACATGATAGAGATTCAGAAAACGTAGTTGATATATACCTTCCGCTTTCGAATTCGTTATCAGATTATTCACTGCTTTTTTTTGCAATTCATTCGGTTTCAAAAAAATATCATGTCACCTCATAGTTTACCCGTCATCTCCATCTTCAAATTTTTATCCTTTGTGCTGCTTAAAGGTGCGTGTTTCAAAAGATGCTCACTCCACGCTCCCCAACCCGAATTTATTCCTCTATAAGTACACCTAGTTTGAATGCGTCGTTTATCAACCCTTTCCAACATGTTACATCCCTGCCCCGGCGGAATTTTTATAGTGAATACATAAGCTACTAATTGACCAAGGGATCATAAACAGTTTCTAAAACATTAGTACAGAAAAGCTACTCTGGCTTGGATAGACAACAGATGTAGAGATTAAATTTACATGTGGACGTCAGTCTGGCATGGATGGGTGCAATTTACATGCCGACGCTAACTTCAGTCGCCCTTTTGTTTTACAAGGGAGGATTTTACGGTTCGGCGCATGTGCAAGCCATGACATTAGGTTATATTTTAAAAACAAATTGACAAGTTAAATTGCATTTCTGAGATATATATACATAGTTTGAGGATTATTTTTTCCATAGAGAGTTTTTTGGTTAGGCCATTCACTATCTTATGTCCCATACTTATCTCTGCTATTTCCCCGCTCCTTCAGCTTCTGATAATTTAGAAAGCAGACATTTCGTCGCATCATTTTAAGGTCTCGGTAAAGGAAAACGAGGTGCCCACAGAAAAAATTCTAGTCGCGCGAGTATTTTCGCTAAAAAGGCAAGTTATATATCAAATTAAAGCTAAAAGACTAAATTACCTTATAAAAGATTTTATTTCATCGAATTTCAAGAAGGCGCTTAAGTTTTTTGTTCTCGAACTCAGAGGTATCGAGGTTACTGCTGAAGCTCCAGCCCTTTCGCGTTGTTAAATATTCACTTCCTTTTTAATGCGTCTGATTGACAGATAAAAGACCTAAAAACGGTGTGAGGAAATTTGCATATGTCTCGTATCAGCGGAATTATTGCATTTCAAACTAAAAAGTCGAATCTCGAGTGCGATTTACGCAAAGAAACTGACATAAAATGAGTTACAAAGGGAAATCGGAAAATTCCTCACAACCTTTTTGAGTCTATATCATTATCCATCATATCTGAAAGTTTCAAAGCGATAGCTTAAAACCTGTCCCGACTGGAGGTCGGAGAATTTTGATTTTTGCGTCTAAAATAGAGTGAGAGAAAATCAGCTCTAAAGATTTAGCGCGGGGTCCACGCTTGGCTGGTTAGCTCAGAAAAGGCTCATTTTAGAAGGGTTAAAAAGCACTTTCTGGTTTTCTTTTTCTGTCAAAATAAAATTTAGGACCCACTCATGCCAAAAATCCAAAAAAAACAAAATCGAGCAATGTACTAAAATTTTCATTTACCGAGACCTTAAGAGCGAGTAACAAAAGACTTGCTACAAGCTAATTCTTAATATCACAAAATAAAACGGACTCTAGCAAGGGAGGTGTTGGAGTATAAAGCACATGAAGTGGCGGCCATTCTAGGTATTTCCACGACAACTGTGGAAAGTTAAAAGAACTAAAATTCTCTTGGTAAAGTGGCCTATAAACGGGGAGCTTATAACAGTTATAACCAGACTAAAATCTCGTTTAAAAGCAAGCAACATTCCTAATTTCGTTTGCCGAGCATTCTGAGTGAAACCCAGTCCTATGCTCCGTTCAGTCTACCAATTAGGGAGGTCAGTGGGGTGGAACGTCAGTTGGGTGTTGTTCGTGCTGTTTGTGGATTGTTTCTACATTTCCTTTGCAAGTCAGTTCTTCTGATCTGTGCGAGTGAAACATCGTTAAAAGGTTAGTTTACCAAACATTTAGTTTGATACAGTCCTTAAGTTCATTCCCAGATGAAGAAGACATGATAAAGAGACAAAAAACGTTGTTTATACCTTCCGCTATCGAATTCGATATCAGATTATTCACTGGTTTTATTGCAATTCATTCGGTTGCAAAAAAAATCATGTCACCTCATAGTTTACCTGTCATCTCCATCTTCAAATTTTTAGCCTTTGTGCTGCTTAAAGGCGCGTTTTTCAAACAATGCTCACTCCCTCCTCCCCAACTCGAATTTATTCCTCTATAAGTACACCTACATTGTATGCGAAGTTTATCAGCCACTTCCAACATGTTACATTCCTGCCCCGGCGGAATTTTTATAGTGAATAAATAAGTTACTCATTGAGTAAGGGATCATAAAGAACTTCTAAAACATTAGTGCAGAAAAGCTACTCTGGTTTGTGACGATAGGTTTTGCCCTTCCAAGCACAAATCGGGGAGGGGGGGAATTCGAGCGACTTCGGCGTCTGAACAACAAGGGGGAAAACTAATTCTGCAACTCGCTTGGCTAGCGGGGAAGGAACCCGTCACTGTTCCACGGTACTAGGATCTGCTAAAACTGGAAAACAGGACAGCACTCAAACTTGGACTTCAACAGTTTAATCGTCAGCTCGTGCACGTAAATCATACAGAAATTTGCATCAAATAATGTAAATCGTACAAGCATGTAAATCCGCAATGTAAATCGAAAAACAGGGATAACAGTGCTCTATTTATACTAACCGATCAACTTATTACAGCATCACGAAACAAATGGAAAGAAGGCTGAATAAAATCAGCTGAGCACTGAAAACAAACCTGACTAAATTCAGCTTTAAAATTCATATGTTAAACTAAACGACTCAAAATGAAATGTCAGTCAAGCAAGTGAATTTAGGAAATTTACAAAGAAAGCTGTGTAAACTTGAGAATTCGAGTTTCCTTTGCTCAGGATTCCTTAAAATGTCAAGACTGAAAACTTAAGACGGTTGGTATATTTGAATAGGAGAAAGATTAAGCTGTATAAATGTGCATAAATGTGCATAATTTAAGGGAACTAAAACATCTCACTGTAAATTCAGTACAAATTACGGCGAAAACAACTTCAAATGGAGTTTAAGAGCTAGATTTGAAATTCGAGGCGAATAAAGAATTCATAGGAAATTTCTCCTTACAGTTTGTTTAGTTTGGATAGACAACAGATGGAGGGACTAAATTTACATGTGGACGTTAGTCTGGCATGGATGGGTGCATGTTAGATGAAGAGTCTAATAATTTAGATGCCGACATTAGCTTCAGTGGCCCTTTTGTTTTACAAGGGAGGATTTTACGGTTCGGCGCATGTGCTAGCCACGACATTAGGTTATATTATTTTTAAAAACAAATTGACAAGTTAAATTGTATTTCTGAAATATATATACAAAGTTTGAGGATTTTGGTTTCCCCAGAGAGTTTTTTGTTTAGGCCTTCACTAGTTATGTTCCATATACTTATCTCAACCTCGAGGTTGTATTATCTCTGCTATTTCCCCGCTCCTTCAGCGTCTGATAATTTAGAACGCAGACATTTCGTCACATCGTTTTAAGAGCGACTAACAAATAAACACCCCGAGTGGCAAGAAACACAACTGAATGATCGTGATATCTATGCTTGTAGCTGATGACCGAAACCCAGACTGAGAATTAAAGAAGACAAATGACTTGCTACAAGCTAATTCGTAATATCGCAAAATAAAAACAGACTCTAGCAAGGGAGATGTTGGAGTATCAAGCACATGAAGTGGCGGCCATTCTATGTATTTCCACGAGAACCGTGGAAAGTTAAAAGAGCTAAAATTCTCTTGGTAAAGTGGCCTATAAACGGGGAGCTTATAACAGTTATAACCAGACTAAAATCTCGTTTTAAGCAAGCAACATTCTTAATTTCGTTTGCCGAGCATTCTGAGTGAAAGCCAGTCCTATGCTCGGTTCAGTCTACCACTGAGGTCAGTGTGGTGGAACGTCAGTTGGCTGTTTTTCGTGTTGCTTGTGGATTGTTTGTACATTTCCTTTGCAGGTCTGTTCTTCAGATCTGTGTAAGTGAAACATTAGAACATGTTTAGTTCACAAAACGTTCAGTTTGCTTTGAGTGGGATACAGTTCTTATTAATAAGTTTATTCCCAGAAACAAGCAGATATTAATACGAAAGAGATAAGAGATACGTGTTGAATAACTTCCGCTTTAGAATTTATTACCCGGGGATTACTCGTTATAGTGGCCTATACGGGGAGGCTCCGCTCGAAGAGGGTACCTTTTTCAGACTTCAGGTATATGAAAGGGTAGGGATTTTACTCGTTGAAGTATACGAAAGGGAAGGGAAATCTGTCATTTGGGTCTGTGAAAGAGCCCAAATGGGCTTACAGATGAAATTTTATGGCTTTATAAAGTCGGGAAAACGTTCCCTTTTTGTCATTTGTTCCTAGTTAAGGTGGCTCCGTAATTAATACAAGAGCATATAGCTGTGAAAAATTTTCGGTCATAACTTTTTCAATTTTAACGCGATGGCTGCGAAAATTTGCAAAAAACAACAGATGTCATTCGGCAATAATACGAAATATTCCGATTTCATTGATGGTAAATATTTCTTGAGAAATTAGCGTTTAAAAGGACCCTACTGTTCAAGAAAATAGCGTCTAGTAAAAAATTTTGCTGATATTTTTTACTGAAATTTCTGGTATCGGCTTTAATTGATATAATAAATATGCCAGACGAATTTCAGAAAAATCGTTGGAGCAGAAGTTCGTAACTAAAAGTCGCTCAAAATTCAGCTGTGAAATTGTTTTGGAATCTCAAAAATAAATTACTATCAGGAAGAAGGAGACATCAGTTTCAATTTTCGGGACAGATAAATTCAGTGTTTGCTAACTCTGAAAACAGAAGCCGATTGCCTATGGTGCTATTCTTTAAAAGATACTCTTCAGTTTTGGAAGCACTATAAATTGCTCGAAATTTTGCTCTGACGTCGAATGACTTCTTCCTCGACATTTTTAAAATATCCCTTGGCAGTTTTGGTTCAAACTCCTGCTACATACATTTTGATGTATTGCAATGCATCCTCAACGGCTTTTCCTGCTGTACGTTGTTTCCAATTCAGGAAAAAGGTATTGGGATTGTAAGCTACCTTGTATCGAAGCTTAGATAGAACTGTCGAGCACCTTTGTTTATGACCAGAAAATGAGCACGAGAGGCAGCTCTGCGAGGAACTCGCACCTCAGCCAGGGGGGACGAATGACAATGATGCCTATGTCTCTTCACTGTTTCCAGTTCCATACTTATCTCTGCTATAAAGTATTCATACCCTCAGCATCTGATAAGAAAGCAAACATTTAGTTGCATCATTCTATGGGGGGGTGTTACAAATAGACAACCAGCAGAGACAATGAACACAAATCATTGAGTTATCTGTCCGTACATGACCCTAACTATAGGAAATGGATACAGGCTTTAGCTGATAACTGAAAAACAGTCTAAGCATTGAGCAAGACAAAATTGTTGCTACACGCTAAGTCGTACCATCCACAAAATAAAAACAGACTCTATGAAAGGAGGTATTGGAGTAAAAAGTTAACATGAAATAGCGGCCGTTCTGCGTGCATGTAGTTGCACAATAACCGTGGAAAGTTACAGTATAAGTGAGAGAATTTTAGACAGTGGCTAGCTTAAGCAAAAACGACGGCTACAACAACGGCAAAATTAGAATAAAAAATACGTTTTGCAAACCAAGACTGGATTCACGCTTTTTTAAGCTTGCTGCAGTAGCACGACTACGACGTGAAACATTTGTTTTTATACGTTTTTTGGAAGACATGAGACTAAAATTCTTGTTTTGGTTCTTTCTGTTTTTTTGGCGCAGAACTCATCATTTCCCGAAAATTCGCGGTATTCTTGGTTTCTTTTAATTTAGTAGTACTAAGTGTCACCTGTTGTGTTTTGGAGGCTATCTTGGCCTTCTACCAGGGGTACCCAACGATGGATTCCTCCTAAATGAATCAAAAGGAAAAAAGTCGTTGGGTACCCCTGTTTCACTTTTGATATTTCGAAATATTTTCAGAAATAAGCATGTTGTAAGGTATTGTAATGTCTAGAGAGAGTGTTTTGAGAACATGGAAACCGGTTTTTCTAGCTGAGTGGTTCTTCAAGTACCAGAAGTTCGTGAAGACCAACTAAGATAGTGAGGTTTGACATACCTTAAACTTTTTCGACGATTAATATCAATCTTCATTTGTGACGGTAGACGGTAAGAAATTACCTTAATTCATTGAGACCTTCTTATCTATGGATAAAACAAATACACTTATACTGCGACACTCAATACACTTCTGAAAATGTCACTTCTATCCTTCGCAATAGTAACACTCAGCAAACGTTATCTGGAGTTAAAACACATCATACTGCGACCTTCACTACACTGAAAACGTCATTCTACCCAACACAATACGCAGCACTTGGCAAATGTTATCTGGAGTTAACAAACACGTACTTATACTGCAACACTCGCTACACTAATCGAAACATATTTGCTGTAATATACAAAACGTAACCGTTGCCCCTGGCTGCAAAATTCTTTTTTTTGTTTACATACTTAAAAAAAAAGGTCCTTTAAATTTTGTTCTTGACACATAACGACACGTTGTCGAAGTGTTTGAGTTTCAAACGAGTTTAACTAAACAGGAACCACTGACAGTCAAGGTATCACCCAAAATTAAAAGTAAAAGATATCGATGTTTGTTTTCTCCCTTTTTACAATTGTCCCAACAAATAATGATAGATCTTGTAACTGATTTCGTGATCTCAAAAAGGAATTCCAACAGGATTGAAAAGGGCAAAGTGCAAAGTTGTACTCCACTGTAAGACTTTCAACATTGCATGTTGAAAGTAAAATAGATTTGTGAGTTTCTACTCGTGTTGGTTAGAATAGGGTAAATAAATCTAATATTGTAGTATTTTTTCTTTCACTTGTAGGAAGGCTTAGTGTACCTTTCTATGGCCTCTGTTGCACCATCACCCCTGGCCAGTTCTGTGGAGAAGACAAATGGAGCCAAGCTCAGCAGGCTTCTCATCGACGGTGGAACAACAGTTCTTAGAAATATTTTTGATATCTATCATCCTCCTGCGAACTTGATTACTGACTTAAATGCTAATTATTTCATTCTAAACAATCTCTTACGTCGTCGAGTTCTAAATGGCCATCAATGGGACAAGCTGTTTCCACCTGGTGGAGTCCCTCCAGACTCCAACACCTTTGACATCACTCTTCTTTTTCTCCTTCTGACCAACATTTGTGGACTAGCCCCTCCCCCCTCAGGATGGCACACTATGCCACCCCCAAGTGACACGTCTCGTGAGGCTAACCTTGCACGGGTTAAGTTCTATCGCAATGTCTTGTACGGTCATGTGACAACCACTGGTGTTGATACACCAACTTTCTCTGCTCTGTGGACTGAAATTAGTGGTGTTCTTGTGGCTCTTAATCTTAATCAGGCAGAAGTAGATAGGTTGAAGGCAGAGAAAGGTGGAGAGCAAGATTATATTGACGTGTTGATTGAGTGGGCTGACAGCGAACAGGATATTAAGTCACAGTTGAAAAACATACATCAGTCCCAGAGCCTAACTCATAGAGCAGTTGAGGATGTACGTCACGCTCAAGCGAAGCTTCAAAAGACAGTGGAAGACGTGCATCAGACCCAAGCTATGACACAAACGACAGTGGAAGACATACATTTGACCCAGGCCAGTACTCAAAAGACAGTAGAAGACATACATCAGAGCCATTCCAAAACACAAAAGACAGTGGACGACATACATCAGTCCCTGGCCAAGACACAAAAGACAGTTGAAGACGTGCATCAGACCCAGGCCAACACACAAAAAACAGTGGAAGACGTGCGTCACTCAATGAATAACACTCAACAAAGCTTTGAAGAAGTCTCAGCACGTCTCAAGGAAATAAAGGAAACAGTGGATAGCTTAAACGACGCAAAAGAAAAAGACAGGACAGACGAGGTCCTTAGTAATCTTACCAAGTCTGAATTCAGAGGTGACATTGAGTATTATGCGGAACGATTTCAAGAAGGCACCCGTGAGTGGGTCTTTGACAGAGTTCAGAACTGGCTGGATGACAAAAGTTCTCAAAACCGTGTGATGGTAATCAGTGCAAATGCAGGGATGGGAAAATCTGTCATCGCAGCTGTGATTTGCAGGACAATGCAAGAGGCTGACAGGCTGTCAGGAAGCCATTTTTGTCAGTATAACAATGTACGCTACTGTAGGCCTCAGTTGATGATTCAGTCGCTTGCCTGTCACTTGTCCCGTGCCCTGCCAGAGTACAAGCAAGCTCTAGTGGAACAGCTGTCAAGAAATCTGGGTACAGATCTCAACAACATGGGTGTAGAGGAGTTGTTTGCACTTCTTTTCAAGGAACCTCTTAGTGCTGTAGGTGATCCAGGAAGAAACATGCTCATGGTGATAGATGGCTTGGATGAAAGTGAATACGAAGGAAGAAATGAGCTTCTTGATGTAATTTCAAATCAATTTTTCAAGCTTCCTAATTGGATTCGTTTTCTTCTCACAACGCGTCCAGCCATTAACATTACAGAAAAACTGAAACATTTGAAGCCATTCGAACTGAACTATAATGATGAAAAAAATATTGAAGACGTCAGAGTTCTTTTTCAAAAAAACCTGGAACACGTGGTCAAGCTAGGAAATTTAGGCGAGTATGTAGAGCGACTAGTTTTGAAATCTGAAGGTCTGATGCTGTACGCCCATTTCCTTGTATTGTTGATCACTGAAAATCCATCAATTCTTCACGAGGAAGACGTTGTTGACAGTTTACCGTTAGGAATTTCTTCAGTGTATCATTCCTACTTTGAACGTCTCGAGCGTGAGCTCTTGAAGGAACTCCACATAAAGGAAGAAAATTTCCTGAATCTGTTATCTGCCATTTCCACTTCAAGGGAGCCCCTGCCAGTGGGTTTTGTTTCTAAAATATTAGTACCGAACTCACATTCACTACTTGCAAGGCGTAAAGTGCTGAGAGCCCTGGGCAGTGTCTCTGCACTTCTTCCTGTTCGTGAGGATTGTCTTCATGTCATTCACAAGTCGGTTAAAGATTGGTTGACAGACATTTCATGTTATGGTGAGCATGAATTCAGCACGAGTGAAAACGAGGGACACCGTATACAAGAAGCTCTGTGTACTGACGAACTTAAAAATCTGAAACGGAAAAGTGTAAACAAAGTACAATTTAGCATCACTGAGAGGTACGCGCTGTATCATGGAGCACATCACATGCTACACAAGAGCATCAAAAGAGAGCCACATGAGCTGAACGAACTGACAAGGGCCTACATTTTAGATTTAGAAATTGTGTATGCCAAGACCTGCGTTAACAGCACAACAGCGACTGAAGACCTTCAGTGGCTTAAAGAGCAGGGGACTTTTACGTTGTTATCAAAAGATAACCAAAGTATTGTGGACACCTTGTTGTTTCTATTAAGAAAAAACCTCCGTTTGCTTACGGATACCCCTCATACTTTTCTTCAAACCATTCTTAACCAAGGAGGAAAAGTGTTGACGGTTGAGGCGTCACATCTTTTGCGAAATAAGTATCCTGAAATACCATATATGGAGGATGTTCACAAGGAGACTCAGCAGGGAGGTGTTATAGCCCGATTTGAATGTTCATCTGATGTGATCTGTTTGGACGTCTCTCCACAGTTGGATTATATGGTGTGTGAATGTTACGACGGAATGCTTCATCTATGGTCACTCCATACTGGCAAGCTAGTGTGGACACGTCCAGTAGTAGAGAAAAAGGAATTCCGTTGGTATGCACCATTTAGCTATACTAGAAATTTAGGTTTAGATCCCTCAGATCGTGTTTATTCATTCTTTCGTTCTGTCGTTTTCCACCCTACAAAGAAATGTATTTTATCTGGGAGTCTAAGTCAGGTCTACACTATGGAAGGAGACTTGAAACCGCTCTTTCCCGGAAGTAACTGTAGATTCTCGGTTTGCTCTATTTCCTGCGACAACACCATGATTCTAACTAATTGTCTTGAAAGTCGTAAATGCCTTGTTTGGTGGAGTTTGCAAAATGGTGGCGAGATCCATCGGATCTACGAAGATGAAAACATTTTATCATTTGCATGGTCTGGCGATGGAAGGCTTCTTGCAATTTCCCATTCTTCCGGAGTAATAAGTTTGGTTAATGTGCTGTATGGATTCAGATTTAATCTAGTACATAAATCTGTCCGTAATAGCCGTCCTTTATTTCACAGAAGAGACGTGGAAGTATTTGGCATGGTAAAGTTTTCACCTGATCATCGATTTGTTCTTTGTTGTTCTATAGAACAGCTTGACCAAGTCTTACTTTGCCTCAAGGTTGTAGAGGGTGCCCCAAACAGATTTTCTTTAACGAGAGTGTCTTATGATTCCAAGAATTTTGAATTTTTTAGTGATTGTGGTTTTTTTTTTGGTGATCTTATTGCCACAGACGATTCTGTGCCAGGGAATATTGTGTTTGGTCTCAACAAACAACATCTGTTACGATCAAGTGGTAGCTCAATAGAAATGGTGAATATCAATAACGTCAGAAGAATCGATCAAGGTAAATCCCCTAGACCTAGTGGGATAGCACTCAGTTTGGATGGTCAGACCGTGTTTATTGCAAGTGGCACATCAGTCACTGCTTATGACGTGTTCAGTGGGAATCGTAAAGCTGAGATAAAACCCGTACCTTTCGAATATTTGTGTTCTGTTAAAGGAGGTGTTCTAATGTCAAAGAAAAGAGGCCCTAACTCAACAGAGTTGTGGGATTATAGCCTCTCTAAAACTGTCAAAGTATGGACCAACCTGAATTTTGACGTTGAAAAACTGATCCCAATATCAGAAGAACGAGTAGCAGTCGTAGGAAGGGCTGATGTGGCAGTCCTGGATACAAGCAGTGGAACAGTTGTGTCAACAATCCCATCTTTAGGAGGAAGTTCAAGAGTTCTTACTTGCAACAGTAAATGTCAGCTGTTAATTGACAGGACGAGGGATGGACCTCGTCCTGGCTATCTTCAGTTGTTAGATGGTACAACAGTTGTTTGGCAAAAGGAAGGCTTTGGAACGGTCATTGATTATAAGAGTGGGGCATTCTCACCTAAGGAACAGTTCCTTGTTGTTGCGTCGGCTCGAGGCATGTTAGTTCTGGATTCTAAAACAGGAAACACACTCCGTACTTTACCTAATTCACGGCCATTTCCCGACGAAAGTCACTGTACTTTTATAAGTGACGACGAATGTGTTGCTTATACTGGTGATTACACTTATCAGCTGTTAAACGTCAAATCTGGTGAACTTTTAACTGCAATTGATCACGGAAGTTTCGTGACCTGTGTAGCAGCCTGTCTCTTTAATCGTGTTGTCGTCTTCGGCCTGGGCCAGAACGTTACACCTAATTTTAAAGTTTTCATGGCGTGTTTGCCACGAGGCGATGACAGTGAAAACGGGAAAAGGTGAGCTGTCGGTAAATCGTAATTTATTTTCTGTCATTTAGCCTTTTTTGCTAGAAGACCTGCTAGAAATCATCAGTAGTTTTTCTCCATTATTTCTCCACCACTTTTTTATGGATTCATTTGAAGAAAACTCGTATAACCGGGGCATTTGCTCTTTGGAACAACAATCTTAGCAGGCGACAGGCGACGGGTTTTCACGCATGCTGCAAAAGATTCCACCCTCTGAAAGACTGTCTGACGCATATACAGAATTTACCATTTTTAAAAATGTCCGTACAAAAACTAAGAACCCCAATCACTTAACTTCCTCTTTCACGTTCTTTTTAATTTATTTAGTTGATAATCTAACTACAAGGATTTCCACTAAGTGAAAAGTGATCCTCGTAGTTACGTATACAATTTTAGCATTTTTGAAAGGGCATTGAAAATTAAAGGGATTCGAACCCATGAAATCAGCATGACGGATGTTCTAAGCTACTGAGTTCAAGACCCCATCACGCCACGTGGACGGTAATATAGATTCAATAACTGAGACTACGAATATGGATGACCCCTGCGAGAATTTATAAATCAGTTCCGCAAAGTAAAGCCCGTCCTCCCCCCCCTCCCCCCCCCCCACCCCAACATTCCAATATTCCAATTCAAGTTTTGTACCCCCCCTGTTAGTTAAAAGTGTTTCCATTTCATTTAATTGTGTATATAAAAAAGTCTCTTTGTAATGATTTTCACCCTCCCAAGCTGATCGCCTGGGCCCGGTTCCTCGAAAGACGGTTAACTTTAACCCAGGATTAAGCAAAATTTTAAGCAAGGTTTTCTTGTCTAAAGACGTGCAAATGGAACTAAAAAAGACACGGTTGAGCCTTTGATCCGAGATACAATAATGACAACACAAAGGCTGTTACTCTAACCAATGCATAGGAAAGTAAATTACAAAATCAGAACAAAATTTGTTTGAAGTTTTCCGGTGACCGCTATATACAGGGCCGTTATATACAGGTTTGACTTTAATTATTACGTACAGGGGCACCCAACGGGAAATTTTGAGACAACAAAGCATGAATAAAGCTTTCTGAAGCCATTTTGAGCATGTTGGGAAATTGCTGGGAAAAATGTATCTGTTCCTCACTCCCAGTAAAACTGATGAAAGAGTTTCCAGCCAACAAGGTGCACCTACAACCTGCAATTTGACTTACTGAGAAGTTTTCCAGCAGGCGTATGTCCAGACCTTATTGGTCAGTTTGGGTGTGGTCATAGGGCAAAATTCAATCCTTTAGTTGGTGGGGGGAGGGGGGGGGAAGAGGTTTCTGACAAATAGCACATAGCAGCTCTTCTAGACATCAAATTTCCTCAGACACCATGGATTGTCTATTTCCCAGCAACACTTTCCTTCCAAGGACATATTGTTTTTCCCAAATCTCCCAGCCAGCAAAAGTTTGCCTGAAGAACAGATATTTTGAGGAATAGATCCGTTGGGTGCCCCTGTATGTAGTCAAGAAACCTCGCGACAAGCTCGTTCTAACAATACTTTCTTCCATAATTTTTTAGCCGTACCAGCGGAGCAACATTGGGTGGACAGAAGAGTTCATATTCGGCACAGCAAGTATGTATAAGTTGTTTGGTTTTGGTATAAACTAGAAACAATTAATATTGATTGACTGAATGCTTCGACTGATACTAAGCGCGGTTGGAGCAAGTAACTTTCCAAACAACTTGAAGAAGTTTGGTTGGATATAAAGCTCGCTCTAAAACTGAGTTTGCATGTCAACAATGTGTTGTTAACTAATATTGCTCAGTTATCTTAATCTGGACAGTACATTAATGATTCTGAAGATCAACGGGAAGGAAAAAGAATGCGAGATTAGGAAAGCATCAGCAGCACGCGGACCAAGTAAATCAAAACGGAGGAAATAATCACGGTTGAATTTTTTCTAGAATAACCAACAAGCCAAAGGGAGAAGTGAAGACTAATGATGATAATCGCGGGTTATTATTATTACTATTAATTGTCTATCTAATAGCATCCTCAACTCCAAGTAGTACTTTAAAACGTTTGTGTCCCTTTTCAGTTTCAGAAAATGAACTGTTTTTTTTGCTTGCTGCTATTCCTCAAAATGCGGTTCACACCTAGTATCTAGTCACAGTTTTGCGTATTCGTATTATTATTTTTTCTAGTACGTCAGTTATTTGGTCTTTGCATACCGATAGCTGTGATCTTTTCTTCTTTTAATATCTTTTTTTCACTCTGCCAAAACAGCTAAGTTGCCGTTCCTCTGTCGTGTGTGACGTCAAACATGGGTAATTTTCCATAGTACATTTATTGACCATCACTGACGTCAGTAATAAAAAACATTGCAAACATCTCCCAAATTTGTCAATGCCCCCTGGGTATGAAGAGTTGGTCGGCGGATGAATTAGCCAATCGGAAAGAAAGACATATTTTGAATGAATAATAACAATTCATTATTTATTAACATTTTTAACGCAGTTAAGAAATTCCTGAAACTAACAAAATTTTGCAAGGTTCCAGTTTAAGAATGCGTTCCTATTACATTACAAAACAAGAAAATTGTCAGATTTGGCAAAGGGTTGTTAGGAATGATCGCTAACTGTGTAAATAAGTAGGTTGAGTTTGATCGTCCGGGTGAACGTAGTTCTGAATAGGACTTTTGTTGTTGACAGTGACTGACGTTTCGAGAACCTACGGTAGTCATCTTCCGAGTCAAAGTGTTTTGTATCACGTCAGTTGATGGTATTACGGCACAGGTTGTCGAAACGTCAGTCACTGTCAACAACAACAGTCCTATTCAGGACTACGTTTACCCGGACGATCAAACTCAACCTACTTATGAAGTGACTCCTGGATTCAAATTTTTCGCAAGGCCATCACGAAAAATAGTTAATTTGAACATTTTGAATGTGCGTTCATTCCTGGACTTATGACCAAGCGAAATAGAACAGTGGATGTAATTTAATTTTAACTTCTTTCCAGGGCGAGCAACACTCTGAAGTTCAAAGAGGCGAAAAGCGAAAGGAAAATGAGCAAGAGGTTAGTTGTTAGGGAGATAATTACGAAATTGAAGCTTGGTGTAAGATTTTGTCTATTAAAGACATAATTCTTATTTATATTATGTTTTAACTCCATTTATTCTTGCTTCAGCTTTTCCAGCTCAATTTACACATTTTGTCTTCTTCGTCTCTTATTTGGGAAGTTTCAAGTATTTAGTCGCATTTATTCGTTCATGCCTTTTTACTAAACTACTAATATCCCTTCTAAATCTAGCCCTAGGTTAAACATTCTGTACTTGGCCTTGTATGTTGATATAATTTTGAACTTTTGTTAATGGCAAAGTTTTTCCTAGAGTCCTTTGAAATCACGTTGTCAGACATTCGCGCAGTTGCTGCCGAAGCCACGAACGCCATAAAACTAATTGTGTGAAAAGAATATCAATGATCTAGATATGTGTATTAAATGATCGGTTCCTTTCATAGTCAGCACTTTCTTAAATGTTACCATACCACAATACAGGATGCCATACTTAGAGATGTTGATCAAATCTTGTATCTTTTTAACACGCGACTACCTGCCATGCATATGTACGGCTTTTAACAAAAGTGAATTAAATACAATGACAAATAAGAGAATTTTCGCTTACCGGCTCTACAGTTTCGGGGTCATGCCGTCTGGTGTTCGAGAGTTAACATGTGTGATGAAATGGAAAAAGACATCCGATAAAGTAATTTCTACATTAAGACGTCAAAACAACAATATTCTAGCTTCTAACCAGTCATAAATCTGGCATATTCTCATCGGGCATTTTGCTTCGATAGGGTATCATTCTCTTATTGAAGTTGTCAATAGAATTCAACGCAGTGGTGACAAGAAGCTTTCCTCCTTGTGTATTTACAACTCTTACGGCCTGTTTACATGGAGGTGGCGGACCCCAGGTAGGTGAGGTAACACGCTTAGGTGGGGTAATCCACCTGTTCGTATAATCTCTCTTGTGTCGGGTCACCCCACTTATCATGTAAACGTGATCAAATTAAAATGAGAGATTTTATGGACAGGCGGGTTACCCCATCTAAGCAGGTACCTCGCCTACCTGGGGTCCCCCACCTCCATGTAAACAGGCCCTTTAAAAGGCATTTTATACTAGCATCCTTTATGCTGAATGTTATAGCACAAAATTGGCCATATTTTTATGGAATTCAAGGGTTTCTCAATAACTGGGTTTCTTCTTATTTATATGATCGTTATCAAACTCAGCGACTCAGGTTGGAGCAGACATTTCTAAGAAAGAGCGGTGTCTGTACCTGCTTTAGGAACTTAATGTGTTCCTGTTGTGTCTGAATTGGAAAAACAATTTAGCTTGAACTTATTTACTAATGACACAAATTTACTCTACGCTTAAAAGGGCTAGAGATCACTTCAAAGAATTGTCAATGAGGAGAAGTTTAAACAGTCTGTTCTGCTATGCAATGTAACGCCCTCAAACATTTAAGGTTTATTTGTGGACTCTACAAAAAAAATATCATCATTACACCTGTGATTTTCTGCATTATACAGTTGATAACTAATCATAAAAACACGTTTATGATTTTAATTCGGCGTTACCTTTCAGGATGTAAAACAGAGCGCAGATCGAAAGTGACACAAAGAGAACTAAACTTGAGCCAGAGGTTAGTAAAATGTAAGAAAAGACAAAGAAGGACAAACTTGAAAGCCTTTCTTGTATCTTTAAGGTCGGTAAAGTAATTCATGCAGTCATGTTGTTAACGGTTTATTTGGGCTGACACTTATTACTGGCCTCAAGGAGGTCAGATTACTGGAGGTTCCACTTTAAAAACATGTTACAGAGACACTTTTTTTACAGGAGTGGGGGCGGTGGGGAGGGTTAGAGTCATAACAGAGGAAGATTCATATCAGTTGATGAAAAAGCAACTTCATGTCAGTGGCTCCATCAAAGCCTTGGTGGGTTTCTAAGGCTCTGCGTAACTTTCTTACAAATCTTCATGACTGCAAACGTTTTTACCTTTCCCTAAATGACCAATCAGACAGATAGTGTGAATCTACTGAACACCACAAACTCAATGTGACTTCCGTGCAGGTTATCGAAGTTTTAGTTAATGTGTTATTTGACTTGACTAAATTTTCGATACCTAAGACTCAACTAGGAATTGAACTGACCCTAATAGCAACAGGCAAAATTAACTCACTGAAAGCTGAATGCTGAATCAAATTTCACAGTTTCTCTTAAGCTACGGTACATTTACATTTGTAAGAAAGTCAAAGTACAAGAAAGGGACTCGGCTCCTTTGCGCTAATGGAAATATTGAAGCCCATATCTTAAGGTGGTGTTACACTGGACAATGCGGTATCCTATCGACGATTTTTTTTTCTTTTAGTGTCGCATCGAGATTACGACACAGGTTCAAATATAAACTTGTGACCTCGTGTAACATGGCCCCTACGCTTAGCCCCGAGGATTTTGGCTTGTTGAGGGAGGAGTGGGGTGGGGGTAAAAGGTTGCAATGTTTAATGTTTAACATCTGTTATGTTTTCTACAATTTTAGATATGTCCTATTATATTGGGGGAGATACAAGATAATCCAATCGCTCTGTGCCTTCAGGACTCGACCTTTGTTGTTTTGGAAAGAGATTCAAACAGTAATGACTACTAGCTAGGTTTTTGTAATTTATTCGAGTCTTTTTTAGTGATGTCGGCCTTTTTTCAAAAATACCATAATACTCTTTGTTGTTCCTTCAAAATTTTGCATACGCATTGTTTTCAATTTCTCTTGGGACTTACAATCACCCCAAGAGAAATTGAGAATAATGCTTACGCAAAATTTTGGAGGGACAACAAAGGAACTATTTAAAAAAAAAAAAAAAAGCCAACTGTATCTAGTTGAAGATATAAGTCTTTGTATTGGAATTTTATATAACTTATATACATACCATTAGTATATATTGAGTAGTGAAGTGCATAGTTCGAAGTGTATTACGTTTAGATTTGCTTTAAGAATAGAGACGAAAACATGTTTAATGATTTTTGGTATAACAAGTATAAAAAAGCAAAGTAGTTACTTCCAGAAATATTCGCCTTGTGTTCTATTCAATGGTTATCTATCCATATATAGTACTAGATGACATCGCCTGGATGTTATCGACATTGAGTTGTAATTTAAAAAAAGAATGTTATCATTGCATTCGGTATTACTGAATAGTTAGTCGGTTGCCTCATGCAGGCATTGAAATTATTTGTGGTATTTCCTACATTTTAAGTGCCTTATAACATTATCTTTAAGTTTCCACCTTAAAGTTTAATTTATTGCACTCAGTAACTAGTGAGGGCTTTTAATTATGTTTAAAGTTTTAACAGCTTAAAACATGTAAAAAAACCATTGAGAAGAAATTTTCTGTTAGTCCACAATAGTATTTTTACAGTATGTTAGACCATAAACTGTTGTTGGTCAGTTTCGAAGCAAAAATCACTTTGGCATTCCAGGAACGGAGTGGTCGTAAATTTCAGAGATTTAATCAAACTTTGCATGACAGTGATGTTGTGCTGATGATATGACGGGCATTTGTAGGTAAAGAGACGTTTAGGGCCTGTTTACATGGAGGTGGTGGACCCCAGGTAAGTGAGGTGGGGTAACCCACCTGCATGTCTATATAATTTCTCATTTCAATTTGATCACGTTTTAATGATAGCTGGGGTGGTGACTTTGGGTCCCCCATCTCAATATAAACAGACCCGTAGTATCAATAAATCTAAACAGGCGGATTCCATTGTAAATCAGTTTTATGTTCGTGTCTTTAGAGACAACCATATTTTTTGATTGCGGCAAAAAAGAATATTTTTCTTCTCTCTAGAGCTGAGGAGACATTTTGGTAACATTTTATAAAGAATTTTCGTCTGAGGATCATAGCTAGCTCGGTGACAAGGTACTATTAACAGTTGTAGAATTCCGTCACCGTGGATCATAGTGCCTCGACAAGATGATGTTAATACAACATGCAATTTCCTGGTTTATAAAGTGATCAGAAAAAATTCAGTCGATAGTTTTGGAAACTGAAAAGTAGGTTAGGTCATTCTAAGGATTGTTTGTAACTGATCGAGTAGAGTAAGTTAAACTTGGCATTGTTCAAAAAACGTAATTACACTGATAAACCAGGACACTGTACTGTGTATTTCATGCAATCAGGGCATTTAACTTTTGTAGGAGAATGTGATAGCAAGGTTGCTTCAGTACTCAGAAAGTACTAAGAAACATTAACATAGTTTATGTATCATTAGATGAAAGAATGAATCTCACATTTTACTATCAAATAACTGACCCTGACTGACATGCGCAAGTATAAATTTAATAATAGACCTATTTCGACATATTGAAATTCATACTTGTCTCCGACGCTTGGGGAAATCAGTAAAACAAAAGAAACGGATTATTCATTTTTGAGTCTCAAGATGATTTCTCTTGTTTTATTCCCCCAAGTCTCAGTGCCAAGTCTGCATTTTAATATATCGAAATTGGTCTAAAATGTTTGTAATATGGTTCTCGTTAGCACTGTTTCATTTCGGTAGTTTAGTTTAACATAGGGGAATTCTTACAACTTGTATGATTTTTTAAGGAAGAGTAGTTTTGTAAAATTATTTCATAAAGGTAGAATATTAGATCCTAGTAAGGAAGGATTCCAGTTCCATAATAATTTTGAAAGGCTAAAAATTTACATTTCAACATCTCAAGCCATTTCTCGCACTATTTGTATCAGTTGTTAAGGAAAAATATGGAAAGGATAGTTTTTCATGCACTTTTTCTCGGCTGATCATTGAAAACCTAGGCCCAATCACTAGGCGCTGTAGTTTTGAGAAATTGTAGAAGCTCAGTTTAGGAATTTAAAAATGTAAAAGTATCTTAGAACTGACCAGTATTATAAGAGTAATGATTATCATTATAGATTTCCTATCACCGCATTTGATGAGGCAAACATATTGTAATAGAAATAAGAGATGAGAGGAAATTGTTCAACGTTTTGATCTCTGTCAGGTCAGATTC